GCAGCACTTGGAACACTTCTTCTGTTTGCAGAAGCAGCGTGTTTTCATGGTTGTACTGTTCCAGCTATTTACTGGGTGACTTAAAAGGTTGACAATTTCTAGTGGTACTGAGAGAAAAAAATAACTCTTGCTCAGGCACAGGCTGTAGAACAAGAGTCCTGTCACAGAGCTCATGGAGGAGAGATGTCTCTGTAAGATTAGTGCCCTGTGTGGTCTCTGCAAAGTTGCAGAATAAGGCTGGCAGAGAGCTCTGGCTCAGGAGCATGGACACAGTCATAAGGCCTCCCGAAGCAGCAGGGCAAGCTACTGGACCCTGGTGAAGGAGCACTTGTGGTGGGTTGAGCACTGCCTCCAAAGATACACCTGCCAGGAACCACAGAATATAACTTTGCTGGAATCAGGGTCTTTGCAAATTTCCTTGAAAGGATCTTGAGGTGAGATGATCCTGGATTAGATGGGTCATAAATATAATGATGTGTGTAAGAGACAGAAAAAGAAGATGCAGAGACATAGAGACCATGTGAACACAGAGGCAGAGGCTGGATTGGAGCCACTGTAAGTCAGGGCACACCAAGAACCCTCAGAAACTAAAAGAGGCAGGTCTCTGTCCTAGATTCTTTGGGTGAATCAAGGCCCTACCCACATCTTGGATTTAGAATTCTATGCTCCAGAACACTGAGGAAATGCATTTCCTCATTAATTTGGGCTTGCTTTTATTTCCTCTGGTCCAGGTTTTTGAGTAGGATGGGACCTTTCATGGCCCAGCTATGCATGACCCCAGAAACTAGGGTGAGAGGCACTCGGTCACCGAAGATCAACGGGGAACAGTGGCTCTGGTTCACTGTCTCATGTCAATGAAGATTGAGGGTGTGGTCTCTCATGGGAGTCTGCATAGCAGAAGCAAGCAAGGACAACTGCAGAAAAGTAAGAAATCGAGGGAAAGTAAGAAATGAAGAAAAAGTGATAGAAACTCCAGAGAGAGGGAAGAGTTTCCAAGAGACGGGGCGGAGTGTGTAAGGCGACATTCATTTTTCTTTCTAGGAGAGATGAGATTTTTTTACCTTTATTTCTTTGGCTTTTATTAGTCTCCCAAATGTTGTGTAATGGATCTGAATTGCTTTGCTACAACTAAAATTCCACTTTTAACACAAGGTAATATATATAAAGCTTGCATTCACATGATAATTAAAACCTTACTCTTTGGAGATGGAATTGCAGCTCTGTCAAGTTCTAGCTGTGATCTTGTGGAGGATGTTCTAGCTTGTCGGTAAGGAGCACCACACCTCTGCACTGGGTTAGTAACTGGACTGTGTTTGACCCAGGTCTTGGTACAGAATAAATGCTCATTGACTGGAATCCCTTATTAACTAATAGTTAATATTAGTATTGATAGAAATGTATAGGTCTCTTTGTTCATTTGAGAAGTGTACTGCTCCTTCACTCAGACCCTTACTTGTGTGTGTGTGTGTGTGTGTGTGTGTGTGTGTTCATGTGGTGTGGATATATGTGCATAGGTGTGTGTGTGTGTGTAAACCAGACAACAATGCTGCCCAACTTTTTTGTTCTGAGATGGAGTTTCACTGGCCTTGAATTTACCAAGCAGGCTATCCTGGCACACCTAGGGCTCTGCCTGTCTTTTTCTCCACAGAACTGGGATTACAAGAGTGTGCCATCATGTCTGGCTTTTAAAAATGTGGGTGCTGGTCACTGTTTAGATGTTCTTGCTTCTTGCTGTGTGTGTTTTTATAGTAGACGGAATCCCACTGAAACTGGCCAACAGCCCATGGAAAACAGATAATGCAGAGACCTGAAAGTTCAGTGCCTTGCCACAATAGGAGGAAGATCATTCCATACCTACCACCTCCTCCAAGGCTCAGGGACTTTTGTGGAAGCGGTTGGTAGAAAGAATGTAAGAGCTGGAGGAAGGGGTGGAATGTTAACTGGAAATGTCCTCTGACCACTATTCAGGCAAGCTATAGTCACACCTCCTTCACATGCTCATCAAGGATTTGAGGGGGGAGTCAGTTACCCCTCCTATCCAATCAGTCGACCTTAGCTACATGAGGGGGCGGGGCAATGGATATATAAGCTGAGAACACCAAGAGGCACCTCTCTCACCATTTTGTGCAGCTGTTGGGAGGTCACAGGATTTGTATTTGAGTGTGGACTTATGGCACAGCTGTAAATGTGGGACGCCCCTTCTTTTGTAAATAAACCCTTATCCTATGTTCTGTTAAAAAACAATAATAAATATATTTTTTTAAGTGTGGGTGCTGGGGATCAAACTGAGCTTCTTATGCTTGCAAAGCAAACACTTTACGGATGGAGCCATCTCTTCTGGCACAGACCATTATGTTTCTGAAAGACCATAAGACTGACTAAGCCTGCCCAGTAACAAGTGGCAATACCAGAACAGCTGTGTGTAACCCCCTGTCCAGCAACATGGTGACCCATGCTACACCTATCTGTGCTACGCCTGCTATTCTCTGCCTCTGCCTATGGCTATTTCCAGGTGTTGTTCATCACCTCACCCTTTGCATGCTGACCAGAGTCAGGCACACCCAGTGTGCAGTCAGTCTGTGCAAAATGAATCATTGGTCCAGCAACTCTGAGACAAGATCTTGCATTCAAAATTCAAACCAGAAGGAAGAACATCTGCTTCTGGAGGCCCCCATCCATGTGAAAGGAGCAGAGAGGCTCCTTCCCATGGGCCCTGTGGTCTTATTTGCAAAATGAGCAGGCACATGTTCCTTGGAATAAATTAGGTGCTATGTGTTTTCCAGACTCACCTGATGATAACTTAAGTTCACACCTAGAGGGAAGGTGGGCATGGCAGGTAGGTAGGGCTGGCGCTGGGCAGGGAAACCCACCAAATCCTTGAGGACTGAGATAATTAGCTGAGAGTCTGACAATAGAGACACTTACTCTCTGATTGAGGTCATATTTGAGTCCTAAGTTTGCAATAAAAGAGACATTTAAACATGATGAAGGATCCTGAGTGAATGAGATAACTAAAAGGATTCTTTTTTATATTTATAATTTATTTATTGTGTGTGTGTATGCCAGTCTACTTGTATGCCATGGCATGTGTGTGGAGGTAATAGGATAACGTACAGGAGTCCACCATGTGGGTTCTAGGGATTGAACTCAGGTTTTCAGACTTGGCAGCAAGCACCGTTACCCACCAAGCCATCTTGCTGGTCCCAACATAAAGTTTTTAATGGCAGTTAGCTAGCAACTGGCACTGGAATGGGTTCCTGGGATAGCATTTGATAGTTAATATTAACTGAGACTTGACAGGCTCTAGAATCGACTAGGAAACATGTCTCTAGGCATGTCTGTAAGAAAGTTTCTAGGGGCTGGAGGGATGGCTCAGTGGTTAAGAGCATTGACTGATCTTGCAGGAGGACCCAAGTTTGATTCTCAGCAGCCCACATGGTGGCTAACAACTGTCCATAACTCTAGTTCCAGGGGATCCAATGTCCTCTTCTGACCTCTGTGGGCATTGAATGGCAGGGGAGACCATGTCTACATGCAAGCAATACACTCACACACATAAAATAAAAATATTAAAAACTTAAAAAAAACTTTTTTAAAAAAGAAAGTTTCTAGATCGGGTTAAATGAGGTGGGAAAACCCACTGTGGGTGTGGGCAGCACCATTCCCTAGGCTGGAGTCCTGGACTGATGAAAAGAAGAAAGCAAACTGAGCACCAGCATTCATCTTTCTCTGCCCTCTGACTGTGGATAAAATGTGGTCAGCTGCCTCAGGCTGCCCTACTTGGATGCTGAGCTTAGCCAGGCAGCAGTGACTATGTGATAGAAACTGTCCTTCACAATAACTCTGGATCTGTTCAGAAACTGAGTGGCGAAGGGGCATGCATATTGCTTCCCCTGAAACCTAACAGTCTAATTCAGCAGACCTGCACCTTTGGAGGAGGGGTGCAGAGCAGGAAGCAGGTGAAACAAGCAACTCCCACAAGACACTGACTTGTCAAGCCATGGGAAGCATTTTAATGACAACTGCTATCACAGGTATAAATAAATAGCTTTTTTTTTGTCTATCATAACTGCCAGAGATGTATGTCAAAGGTCCATCTGAGGTTACTAAGCTTGCAGGACCTTTTTCTTAGCAACTGGTTTCAGTAATAAAATCCAAATAAAAACAAAGACCATCCACTGGTATCCTTTGTGAGCATCCTTCTGCTGAGAGGGCCGGGTATAGCCAAATGACTTCTCCTCAGTTGATGGGCAGAGAGTGCTGGGCTCTGGTCATCACAGAGGAGTTCGTCAGCTGAATGCTGGTGTCCTGCAGACACACCACTCGGGTGAATGTGAGGCCACACAGCCTTGCTGTGCTGTTCAAAGTCAGAACTGACTGACACTCTGACGGATTTTGATCATTTGAGTTTATGCTGGTGTGCCCTGTCTGGTAAAGTAAGAAAGATTACTCAGCTCTTCTTCCACATGTTTTGTTTGTTTGTGTTTGTTTGTTCATTGACAGTTTTAGATGTGTCCTGCAGACATTGCCTACCAGGCTGACTGTAATACTTTGGGCTTTTGAATTTGACCAAACTACCTCCACATAGCGATATCTTTATGCCAACACCAACGGAGCCACCATGTGGCCGGGTGTCACATGCTGTATTCTGTTCTGGCCATGCCCTATTTTGACAGCCATAAACAATGCCTGACCCAGTGCTCGTGGTGGAGTGGGGCTCCATCTCCTCTCAGAAGGAGCTGAGCACTTTGTAAAACAACAGCAACAACCCCCCCCCCAGCAAATATCAACGAGGCAGGGAGATACAAAAATGTGTTAAAGTTATAACTTAAAGAGTGGACTTACTGACATTGCTTCTAGAAAAAAAAACACCTAATGAATAGAAATATAATTTATATTCCATTTAGGAAAAATAAAGCACTTGGCCCTCAGAAATAAACATTAAATATAAATCAAAGGAAGCCCAAGACACAAAAGAGATACAGAAAAGATATGTGGATTCAAAATTAAAAATTCTTGTTTAAGAGGCATCAAGTGTTCATTCCTATCTTTTCCCCAGCTCAGTTTGACAGACAGGCCGTCCTTGGAAACATGACTACTGAATTAAGATGGAAGCTGTCTCTTAGGAGGCCCTATTTTTACATTTTGTTCCTTTATTAGAAATATAAAGCAATGGTCATTTGTGTCTTTTTATTTGTCTTTTTGTGTTTTTTTAACAAATCCTTTTTGGTAGCCTGTCTGCGATGGATTTAGAATCATAAATAACCTTCCTCTGCCTGCCTGAGTGGTTCTCTGTTTTGTTCTCACTCCACCTTCCCAGGGAGTCAGAGACTCAAACTCCTGAATGTCCACCAAACCCAACTGCTAAAAACAAACACTTTAATAGAAAAATGTTCTTTCCCAGCTTCCAAACCTCTAGCCAGTCTTTTGTGGGGCCCCAGCCCCCCTGACTCAGCCCAGGGTGTGCTCTTTGCACCTGGCTACCCCATTGAGGGAGGGAAGCAGGTGTCCAGGCTGGTGCTGTGCCCCAGGGCTATGCCTTCTCTTGGAATTTCTCCAGGTAGGTTCTGAGTTCCTTGGGTGCACCCAAGTCCAGGTCTTGGCAAACCCACTTGATGTCCTCCTCATGGCCACCAAGGATGGAGTTCACGGTGGGGTACCCATCCTCTGGTGGGATGGTGGTGAAGGTGGCGAACTTTACTTTCTTCCGCTTGGAGGTTGGCGAGTGCATGGGCTCTTGCTTGGGCTCCCTGTTCTGCTGCCCCCCAGTGCTTGTTGGCCTGTGTACCTGGCTCTGCAGGTGCTTCTGGGAGCCTCCATTAAGAAGCAGATGGTTGTTCTCCTCAAAGCCCCCCAATCCTCGGTCTATGATGGTTGTGTGCTCATCCTGGGGTGGCGACACGTCTCCAATGTTCTCCAAGAGTTCTGCCTCATTGCCCAGCCACACCCAGTCATGGGAGTGGGTCATGGATGCCTGGCCTTCCAATGGTACCTGCTTGTGCCTATATTTAAAGGCGAAGGTGGCACAGTTAATGAGGAAGACAAGGATGGCCAGGCAGAAGACCCCCAGGAGGGCATACATGCCGATCTCCAGGTCACTCAGGCCATGGGCAGTCTGCACTAGGCCATTCTCTTCCAGCACACCCCCTGTCTTGGGGAGGTCCACATGGGCTGGGAAGTTGGTGAAGTCTATGGGGATGGTATGCAGCTGTGCCTCTCCTGACAGTCTGGTCCCATCCAGGCGGCCGCTCTTGCCTACCTTGTTATCCAACAGGGATTTAGCAGAGGTGGTGGCACTCCGCAGGGCCCCTTCCTCACGCTCCCCAGGAGAGCTGCCATGGGAGCGCCCCTCCTGGCCTGGGCGCTCCAGCTCCTGCACCTTCTGCCGGCGATCACTGGCACGATTCTTGATCTCGTCCTCATCCTTATCTCCAGCTGGACTAGAGTCATCCCATCCAAACTTGACCCTGACATGGCCAATACCTACAGCCAACACACTCTTGCGTTTGGATTTCTGGCAGGCCTCAGCTATGGTCATGTCCACTCGGAGCAGTGGGCCCTGGCCTTCCCCTTCAGCCACTACAATGGGCCACCAAGGGGAGAGGGGCGGGGGGACTGAGATGACAGCCTCATCCAGAGAGGTGGCAGACATGGAGAAGTCCTTGGTGTCATAGATGTCCAGGGGCGTCACTGAGCCATCACTGAACTGCAGCCACGTGCTGACCACTGCTTCCTGCAGAGACAGAAACAGTGAGGACTACTTGAGGGAGTACCTTGTCTCTAGGGACTCCTCCTGCAATAATACCAAAGAAACAGAGTCCTATGAACCGGAGGAGAAAACAGGCTTACATTGAAGTTAGAGTGATATCTCAAACAGAAACAGCTCCAGCATAAGCTTTATTCAGAAAACACACAGTCATGAACTAGCTCCCTGTTACCCACCAGACACTTATTCCTGGGCTCTAGTAGTCTTGCAGGACAAAGACAGGTGGGACTGGTAGGGTCAGGGAGTAGGAACAAGAAATTCTGTCAGAGCCAAAGGCATTAAACAGGAAACACTGGGCTAGAGATATGGCTCAGCTGGCAGAATGCTTGCCTGGAGTGTCTGAGGCCCTGGGATCAACTTCCAGCACTGCTTAACTTGTGTGGTGGTGCATACCTGTAATCTCAGCACTCATAAGAATAAGGCAGGACAATTAGGTGCATAAAGTCATCTTGGGTCCTATGAGACCTTGTTGAGAGAGAGAGGGGGAGAGAGAGAGAGAGAGAGAGAGAGAGAGAGAGAACTTTTCTCCTTTCCCTGTGCTACGTCAGGGTAGCAAGGCACCTTTTGCTTTGTGGGGGAAACAGGAAAGCTAGAAGACTTTGATCCTTGCATATGACCCTGTCATGCCATGGAAGACTCTGCAGAGCCAGCAGCAGGCAGCAGTGCCATGCCCATGCCAGCACAACAGCTCAGCTATTCTGTCTTTGCTTGTACACAGCTTTCCTGAACAGTTTCAGCAGAAGACACCAAGGATCTCAGGCTATGGTAAGGGGCTGAGTTATTGAAAAGACTGGCTATTGTTTGGTCAGGACCCAAACGACCACACAGTCTCCTATTGTGTAGAACAGTGAAGGGAGTTTTAAACTCCTGATCTCAAAATGCCCCCACCCTATGCTTGTATGTCAGGCAAGTTCTTGATAAGTCTGGATATCACCTGGCCCTGCAATCACCAGGACAGTGGGGGCCCAGGAATAACAGTTCAATGGCAGGCACAGGTCTGCCCGGCTGGGATACTCTGTGCCCCCTCCTGGGGTTGCCCCTGGGCAACTCTTGCTGTATGGCGGGGGTGGGCGCTGTTCTTCAGCACCATGGACAGAGCCTACAGCCCTGTCAGGGTTTTCCTAAATGACCAAGGGGGGGACCTGGGGCATGGAACAGGATGGATGGATGACTTGAAGATCATTTCATTGAAGTATTTTTAAAAAATATTTTATTTATTATTTTTATTTTATGAGTATGCATGTATTGCCTGCATGTAGCTAAGTGCACCCATGTCGTGCAATGCCTGTGGAGGACAGAAGAGACTCTCAGATCTGGAACTGGAGTTACCGACAGTTGGTAGCTGCCATGTGGTTGCTGGGTTTCGAGCCTGGGTCTTCTGCAAGAACAGCTAGTGTTCTTAACTGCTGAGCCATCTCTTCAGCCCCTAAAGTTTTAGAGAGAAATCACAGGGCAGGGAAGCTGTAAATCTCAGAAGTTGCCAGAAAGGGGTGGGGAGAAAAAAGGAAAACTTACGCTTCTGAGTTAGAGCACCTACACTCCTATAAGCTCAGCCTTCCAGGTCAACTATGTATTTATTGTTGCTTGAGGGGATTCTATGGATTTTGGAACTTGTATTCTTGCCTGAAGTCAGAAGTCCTGAGAAGCTGGCACCCTTTAGGGTATTCCTGGATGAACAATGGATGGGTATTGTTATACTGATCCTAGCTCCCTTGTCCTTTGAGTACAGCACATCCCTGGCCTTTTGTAGTCTGACATAGTCTCTCCAGCAGCTCCATTGAATTTGTCCTCATTAGTGACCAAGCTGGTGACACAACTGGGAGCTTGTATTCCTACTTTGCACAGTGCACCACTCCACTTCACCTGCTGGGAGCCTACACCATCCAAACAGTGAACTCATTGCTTCACTTCAGCTTGTGCAGAAACTGATACCAAGAATGTGGCTCAGCGATGTTGGTTTCTCCACCTGTGTCTCCTGAGGATCACATCACCTGACAAATCCCTTTCCTAACACCTAAACCACCCAGGTAATTATTTTACTTTACAACCCAGTTCTCTTAGAAATGAGTGAGGCTCATATTCTTTCAGATTTTGCATCTCTGAGAAGTTATTATGGACACAGTGCCAGCCTTCTATGCTCCGAGGGCTGAGATAAAACATCGTTCATTGTGCTGGTTCTTCATCTTGAATTAATTTTTTCCCATGCTGTGGATGGAGAAGGATATTAATATAAACCAAGCTCCTGCAAAGGGCAGTCAGATGAAACCCGCAGCTGGCCAGAGCCCATTTCCATCAGCTCTGCTATGTGATTGAGACCTGACCCTGCCGCCGTCTCATTACAGTGAGGCTAGAACTTCATCATGGAAGCCAACACATGTCCCCCAAGATGACAAATGTCAAGTGACTTCAAATAACACCTGCCCACTAGTGATTTAGACCCCACTCCTTCTGAGAGTCACTCCTGAAAAATCCAAGGTGCCCCATCGACAAATCTCCCATGTCTGGGATGGATATTCAATTACTGTTGGCTGATGAAGATAGATGGGTCATGTTGAGTATAGACAGTGGCCTTGTCCTGTATCCCAGAGGCTGAAATGCAATGTCCACTCTAATGAATGATCCATTCATAGCAAAGAGCTTCCTGCTTTGGACTTTTTCCTCTCTCTCTCTCTCTCTCTCTCTCTCTCTGTGTTGCATGTGGAGGTTAGAGGTTGATGTCAGGGGTCTTCTTCAGTGGCTTGCCATCTTGGATTTTTAGACAATCTCTCACTGAACTTTCGGCTTGTTGATTCATCTATGCTGGCTGGTCATCAAGTCTCAGGGATATGCCTGTCTCCACCTCCCCATAGCTGCATCACTGTGCCTGTTGCTTTTAATGTTTTTATTAGCTTTTGTAATTTTATACAACAGTTCTTAGTCAAATGTAGGCCCCTTACCCATCCATAACCCCCATCCCCACCAGACCTCATGTATAAGTTAAGTCCTACCCAGATGTCCTTCAGTGTAAATTCATCCACCAGAGTCTAGTCAGCCCATCTAGAAATTATATGGGCTCTCCCTCATCCAGCATCAATTCTTTTGTGAGTTCTAGGGATCTGAACCCAGGTCCTCATACTTGCATGGCAAGCACTTTGCTGTCAGAGTCATCTCCTCAGCCTCTACTCACTTCTTAATAATCTGGAACACACCTGTCCATAGGGGAGAAAGGAAGAGGAGCCAGCACTGTGGACTGGACATGACTGAAATACACTATAGGTCTCTCTGGCTGATGCTTGAGACCAAAGTCTCATAGCAATTGTCTGCTGTGGTCTGCAGAGTTTGCAGAGGGTCTTGTGAAGATGGCCAGGCAAAGTCCTCAGAAGCCAGGCACAGGGTGAGGGATCTGACTCCTGCTTGTGTCACAAGGTGCGGCTGTCTGTGAAGGGAACAACTTTCTGGAGTCTCCTGCCTGTGTCACATGGTGAGCTATCTGTGAAGGGGATGACTTCCTGGGCTACTTATGGTGGCAATGGAACCACATGTATCCTTAGGAACAGTGATTGCTGCTGTTGGTGGCAGAAGGGGACACCAGAGAAGTGGGAAGCCTGGGATGGCCTCTGCATTGTGGCTGAGGGTGATGAGGTTATGTATTGGGGTGGGGGGGGGCTGGCTGGCTGGCCATTAGGATCTGAGCAAGGCACCCAGACAATGGCAATAACTGGTCAAGAGATGGAGACCTAAGTCACCCTTAGTGAAGATCTGGGTTCTATCAACAACACTCCCATGTGGAAACAAGAACTTCTTTGGGTGAGAAGTCAGTCACGTGACATGCTGAGCACAGGGCCCAGCTCAGCATCCATAGAACCAAGAACTGGAGTACAGTGCTAAATGGTGGCAACTGTTACACAGCAGTAGCTAGCTGATACAACCCTGTTTGCTGACTACCATCTCATGGCCTATGAGCTGGTGCCTAGTTTTGTTGTAAGTTGCTAAACAGTGGTGATTGTTACACTGCAGTAACTTTCTGATAAAGCCCTGTGTGCTGACTACAGTCCTGGTGGTCCATCCTGGAGTCCAAAGTTGGGATGAGGTGGCTAGGCCAATTTCAGAAAGCCTGAATCACCGGTTCAGCTGTGTATGTGGGGTGAGTTGGCAGCCCAAGTTGGTACTGAGACTCTGCATGGCAGCTGGAACTTCCTGATCTTCCCTAGAGGGATGTAACCTCCCTGGTTCCTCTCTACCTGTACCCCTGATGGTGACTGTGGTCTATCCTAGCAGCAGGCCTGCCTCATGGACACTGTCATGGCATGGTATGTGAAGGACCATAGCCCTCATTGCTACCCGATTGGGTCTGAGGCCTGCTGCCCGCCCAGCTGCAGTGGGCCAGCCTCTCCAGTGCATTCCTGTCCATGCTGGAGTTTCTCTGGAGTTTCCTTGCAGCCTGCCAATTTCTCCTGGCTGTGTGTGGCCAGTGGGAACCAGGTCTGAGGCTGAGTGCCTGAACCAACATGGTGTCTGGCCTGGAGGAGTTCCAAGGTCCCAGCTGCTTCTACTCCAATGGCGATGGTAGCAGCGGCCCTCAGTGACAGAGGCATTCCTTGAAGCCTGTGACAGTTGATCCTAATTTAGTTCTTAGAATGCAAAGTGCTGTGGCTAAGCTCTCTAAAGACTGAGGTCAGGGGTCTGGGACTACTTGGTGGGCACTGCCACAGTGCTAGCTCTGGAATCCTCGCTTCTCATGGGCGTGTCCTCGAGACTGCATGGAAGCAGCAAGTCATGCTGCAAGATGGTTGAGGTAGGCCACACGGGGCTCCACTTTGCCTCCTTCCTTCCTACCAGCTCGGAGTCTCCACTCACTCTAGCACCCACAGTGCACAGCGCAGAGTCGGCTCTGCAGAGCATGAGCAAAAAGTCCCTGTCTTGTAGTAGCTTTCCATGGAGGAAAACAACAGTAAAAACAGGAGCAGAACACATGTAAAGAGAAACTTCAGGGGTGGTGAGGCATAAGGGAAGTGGCAAAAGAGGCAGAATGGCCAGGGTTGTGAGGAAGGCATTCATGAGCAGGGGCTGGAAAGGATCTGTCCCAGGCCAGAGGAACAGCAAAGGCAGAACTCCAGAGGGGCTCAGAAGCAGTAGCTACGTAAAAGCATGCTGGGAGTTTCAGAAATCTGGGGAGTTAGGGACGGAAGTGAGGCAAGGCCACACCTACAGGGTTGTGGAAGGAACATGGTCTCTTAGGCATATTCTAAGTCACTGGAGCAGGTGTAGGCAGAGAGACCTGGCCTGACCAGAGGTTCCTCACACCAGGAGAGGACGTGGGTGGAAAAAGAGGAAGATATCAGCTATTCCTACCCCTGGGAGAGGTTGCAGAATGGACTTACCCTGATGTGTGCCTCAGACCCCTGAGGGTGAGCCGAGCACTTGTGTCCACTCTAACTCTGAGCCTAGACACATTTCCCTCCTCCCTTCCACGGAATCAGGCCTTTGGCCCTCTGCCATTCTGTGGCCCCTACCTGTCTAGGGGCACGCAGCAGTTCCTCAGCTGTGGCCACAGCAGTGGTGGCCTTGTTTTCTGAGATGGGGTGCAGGGTGACAGATAGCCCAGCCACCACCTGGATTGCCAAGTCTGTCACGGATACTTTGTCGTCCAGCACGGTCACTGTCTTCTCTGCCAGGATGGAGTCGGACAGTGGGGACAACACCTGTGGGGACAGTGGGACACAGAAGATCCTTCATGTTCATTTCCAGATGTGGGAACCCTGCCCTGCCATGCTGCTCCATCTCAAACCAGTCAGAGGTCCTGAACACAGCACAGGAGACATGGGCATCCCTTACTCTCAACACCAGCCCACAATGAGCCTTTGTGGGGAGCAGAGGCATCTTTTCCCTGACACTTTAGTTTTTTTGGTAAAATTAAATAAGAAGTTATTACATTGTAAAAGGGAATGACCCCTTCCTGTTAACCTTGTTAACTGTACATGGCAGTCATGTTAGGTAGACTCATAATGAGTTGCATGCCAATTGATTTTGCAGTACAAATCAAATTCTAAGTGATCTATGAAATTACCGAGGAGAACTGCACTGTATGCTGCTTCCCTTCCTCCCTCCACCAGCATGGGGCATCCTTGTGGAACATTTCTGTCAATTCTAATAAGCCCAATGCTGGGTTGGAGTAGTGCAGGTGAAATGATAGTACCCACCATTCCATGCATGGCATTAGGATCCTGAACGATATTCTAGGAGGGTAGTAACAGTCAGCTGGGACTTGAGGGAGTGGAGGAAAAGATGCCCATTATCTGTCTTGAAACTGACTACCTTACACATTCCTTTGAATTATGTAGAATTATGATGCGAGCTTGTTGAATAATAGCAACATAACAGAGTGGCTCGAAGAAAGATGGAGAATCCAGGCTTGCCTGGGACAGGCAGCAGCAGTGTGTACAGGGTGAAGGCCAGTCTCAAGCAGAGAGCCAATCTGGACAGCTAAGGGGGAGGATCAGAGATGGGACAGGAGGCAAGCTGAGTACAGTCACTGAGAATAAGTTCCCATGGGGTGAAGTTAGAAGACTGGGCACGCCCAAGCTTGCCTTCTGTTCCCATGTTACCCCCTGGAGACAGTGTGGGGAGAAGGACCTGGCCACAGTGTCCAGCCCCCACTCCAGGAGCCCCAGGAAACGTTTTTCCAGACAAGGATGGAGAGAACAGGAGCCTCTGCTTCTTACCTGGATGGTTGTCATTCCGACTTCCCGCCCAACCAGAACTCTGCTGTCCTTCAGGGTGGCTACATGCGGGGCCTCCAGCTTCATGAAGTCAGCCACCAGGTGGGTGATATCAAACTGCCAGTCTGGACCCAGCAGGTGGCTCAGCTGGCCCCAGGGCCCCGCACCCTCTGACACAAACTGGGTGAGGACACGCACAGTGGCATGCTGGAACTGCAGGGCACAGCCCCGACCACGCTGTTCTTCCTCCTCCTCCTCCTCCTCCTCACTGTCCCGGGTTGGTCTGTGTGGGAGGAGAGGTGCTTATTCAGAAAAAGGGAGAGGAAGCTGAGAGGTTTGCAGGAAGGCAGGCACATGCCCCAACCTCAGGACCCCCAAGGAGTTCAGAACCCATCTCTGGACTACACAGAGGCTTGAGCATACCACTGGGAAAATGAAAGACAGCTGTTATTTCCTAAGTAGGGATGTTCTACAACCAACCACTAGCCACACATGGCACCTTTTGTTTTTATTTTTTAATGTATGTATGTGTATATTTGCATGTGTGCATGTGTACGTGTGTACCTGTGTGTGCATACATGTGGGGAATCAGAGAACAACTTTGGATGTCATTCCTGAGAAATGCTGCCCACTTCCTTCAAGACAGGGTCTTCTATTGGCCTGGGGCTCACTGATGAGGCTGGGCTGGCTGGCCATCAAGCCCTAGGAATCCACCCGTCTCCACTTCCCCAGTGCTAGAATCACAAGTGTTCAGCACCATGCCCAGAATTCTGTTAAAATATGGGTTCTAAGGCTTAAACTCAGGTTGTTCTGCCTGCATGGAGGCCCTTTGCTGACTGCGCCATCTCTCCAGCCCCCGCCCCCAGTTGCTCTTCTTGAAGCACATCAACTTATCCCTCAAAATGAAAGAGCTGTCAGGAAGTCACCCCAATGATCTGGGACGAAGTGCAGGAGGATGGTGGCCTCGTTGGCAGCCCTCACTGAGCTGATACAGGCTAACTTGGGGGAAATATGGCTCCAAGCTCCAATCTCTCGCCTATAACCACCTAGCATCACACAGGAAGTCATCAGAGGCTTTCTACAGCAAGGTGAGTGCCTTTATGCTCTCCCAGTCACAGAATGCTCAGAGTGTTTCGGGCTTAGTGACACCATGTAGAAGTCAATGGTATCATCTAACTTGGAGAAACTGAATCAAATCCCAGGCCCTGGGGGTTGAGGGGTTGGGGAAGATATGCCATCTTTGACTTGCCAATTGTAAAGAAGCCACTTCAAGGGACAGCAGGACGCACACTCCTGTGTACCATGAGGACAACTCAGTTTGACGAGACTGCCATGTGGACCTGGCTGGGGCACCTGGGGGCCATGCATTCCACAGAAGGATGCTGTCAGGGTTAGGGAGATCTGGGCTGTGGGAACATCAGTTTCTACTGTGTGCTAGGTCCTGCCTCAGCCCCTTCAGTGTGAATGTTGATGGATAAAGCTGGTGCTGTTATGGCTCAGGGCATTTTTCCATCTTGGGCTCACCTCTTACTGGCCACGATGGGGACCCTCCAGCCCTTAATCTGGCTGAGTTCTGTGTCAGAGACATCGATCTGGAGGGGGAGCCTTGGGACCCACACGGTGACATGCAAGGGTGTGCTCAGGTGCTGGTAGGTGAAATTTACCAGGGCATCCACCTTGCCCTTAATCTCTTTGCCGTTGACATAGACATAGTCACAGTGGTCTGACACCTGCAAAGACAGAGGGAGAGATGGAGTTTACAGGGCTCTGCTGACCACCCACATTCTCTCTCTCTCTCTCTCTCTCTCTCCACACACACACACATACACATATAATGAGGTGTGTGTGATGTATGCCTGTGTACATGTTTGTGCATGTACACACGTGGAAGCCAGAAGTCGATGTCTGGTGTTTCCTGCTTTCACTTTCATTTTGTACTTTACTTTCTGAGACAGGGTCTGTCCTTGAACCCAGAGCTCACTGATTCAGCTAGGCTGGCTGGCCAGCAAGCCTCTGGGATGCTCTTGTCTCTGCTGCCTCAGTGCTGGGATTGCAAGCATGCCCTGCCATACCTGGCTTTTACATGGGTACTGGGGATCCAAATTCAAGGGCTTATTCTTGCATGTCGAGCACCCTACTAATTCATCTCTCCCACCCCTAGTCTATACTATTTTCTTGCAAAGCGCACTTACTTAGTTCAATTTTCTCCCAGTGCTGAGAGTGAGACAAGCATCCAGTGTCATTGCTTTAACTGTAAATTGATCCAAAAGCAGCAAGAGCAAATGGGCAGACAGAGAAAGATAGAGGGAGAGGAAAAGCTGGTATGACTGTGTATTTATAAGACTGCGTGATTATCATGTTCAGTTTCTCAGTGCCTCGTGGAAGCATCCAGAATAATCCACCTGAAGGATAAGAGGTGGGGTATCTACCATCTTCTGTTCTCCAGGCTGAGGGTTGTCCCTGTCTTGACAGAATGCCAGGAACAGTTTGAGATGAAGACTTAAGAATCCCAGAGTGACCTTGAACTTGCAGAACACTGTAGCTGTGGCTGAAACCTGAGTGGGCAAAGGGAGTGTGGTGGCCACCAGGAGTGTAATGCAGGCTGACGTCTGCTCAGAAGGGATACAGCTGTGTGCAGCAGCCCATCCAGCCTCCCAGGATGCCAAGGGGCCAGTGCATTCTCCTGCAGCTGTGTTCTCACAGTTTCTGCATCCCTCTCTGTCTGCTTACACAGCCTGATGGTCTTCCTTGACACCCAGACCTCTTTGGGAACACTCTTCCACACCAGTTTGTCTGGCCTGAGCCAGGTCAAGGGTCCCTGTGATGCCCTCCCTGACTCCGGAGACCATCACACTTGCATTACAGCTGCTCCTATGTGAGTGATGGAATCTCACTGTGACTTCCAGTCTGTGCTTCCTTTATCTGCATCATTTCCCTTTTCTTTTATTTTCCTTCATTCCTTCCTCTCCCCTTACCCCCCCTTCCTTTCTCCTTCTGTTCCCTTTTCTCTTTTAAGGAATTTTTTTTGCCTCAAGAAAGGGATGACACAAAGCAGAAATAAACCTAAGCAAGGAAAAGCAAGAGTACAAGCACCTGGCCTCTGTGTTCCAAAGATGCAGCCACTCGCACAGGCATACCCAGGGTCACATCCACAGGCAAGCTGAGTATGCAAAGAGGCAGAAGATGTGCCTGTTCTCTAAGGCAGGCAGGACTTACAAGAATGTGATGTGTGCCAAGGATAGTCACCGTGTGTATGACTGATAACGGATGTCCCCAGGAACTGTGAGCAGAGGACTAGACCAGCAGTCTCCTCTGCCAGTGCCTTGGTAATAGTTATATCCCCTGGAAATCAAATCAGGATCTGTCTATGCCATTCTAATGAACTAAAAGCTGAAAATAGAAACTGAGTTGAGTTATGGAGAGGCAACATGACTTGTCTTGCATAGCCAAGCTTATGGGATGTGATTTAAATTGCTCCATGTGTCTGTATCACTTTTGAAACTGTAATATTCTTGAGGGAAAAAGTGCACCATATTCATTTTCCATTGCTTTGTCCTTACACTAGATACTCCTATGAGGTGGGAGCTCAGCAGAGTGGGGATTGGGTGGGGGAATGTATGAGTGCATAGATGGGTAGATAGTGAGGTAGATGAATAGACAGACAGATGAGTGGATATATGGAAGGATGAATGGATATATGGATAGATAGATGGGTGGATGGACAGACAGTAGGATGGAAGAATGAGTGGATGGATAGACAAGTGGATGCATAGATGGATAGAGGGAGGGTAGATGGAAAGATGGGTAAGTGAACAGGTGGATTAACAGATGCATGGGTGAATCGATGGATAAATGGGTGGATGGATAGGTGAGTGGATTGACAGGTGGGTGGATGGACAGATGGGCTGATAGATGGGTAGGCAGATGGATGGCTGGAAAGGTAGATGAATAAATAAATGGATGAAAGGATGAAAAGACTGGTGGGCAGTGAGATGACTGTAAGGATAAATGGACAGGTGGATAAAAGGAAGGATGGGTAAAGATGGAGACATAAGATAAATGGATAGATGTATGGAGATGTAGAGATGGATATATGGAGATGTAGAGGTGTATGTATGGAGATGTAGAGATCAGTGGAAGGATGATAAGGAGATGGATGAGTAGACAGATGGAGAGATGTATGAAAGGATGAAGATGTGATGGATGAGGAGATGGACAGACAGGAAGCAAAAGAAATAGGTGGACAGGTGGATGGAAGGATGAACAGATTGGTAGAGATGCAGATGGATGATGGAAGGCTGGACTGGAAGATAGACAGACAGAGGGACAGATGGGTGGATGAAGGATAAACAAATGGATGGGTAGACACATAGATAGATGAACAAACACACAGATCCCCTCCCACTTCATGGTACATCTACTTTAGGACAGCCAGAGCAATTGAGTAGAGCCAGGGAGACACAGAAAAGATGGAAGCAACAGGGGAGGATACATAAGAATTTAATTAGAGACCGTCCAGCAGGTTCTCAGGTAGTGCTTCTTAATCTTTCTAGGTCCACTGACTTCCGCGAAAAGCTGCATAGAGCTAAGCTGTACCGGTGAAATGTATACATGTACAGTTCAGCAACCATTTCTGAGTTAATGAAGTCATCCATGTGGCACTTAACCACACCAAGCTCTATCAGCCAATTTGCTTATCTGTCTCCTTCTAGACTGTGCTCTTTGGAGCAGAGTCCTGTCTGGATCTGTGAATGTGACCAAATAACATCCTGGATGAGCAATAACTGTTGTGACCAATCACCCTTCTCCTTCCTCAGTACCTGGGGGACCACGCATGGCTACTCTGAGCCCCACTTTAATCTTTTCCATTTGCAGGGCAGCTGGTGAGGGCAGGGTGGAGAGAATTCCCTCAATCTGTTAGGGATAGTGGTATGGAGGGGTCGCTCACTCACTGGTTGAGAGCAGTTTAAAAGTGTTTCCATGCTGAGCAAGGATGGAAACCAATTTCAGGCCTGTCCCAGACTTGTCATTAGCATGTAAACACTGTCCTGGATCTGGGACGGTATTAGCATAATAGCCGAGCAAGAGTTCTATCACTAATCACTTCTTTAATCAATGTTGTAATTTACAGACCATTGACTTTCCTCATTTATTACCTTTCTGCGCTTGGGTGGGTGGGAGCCTTGCCTCTCCAGAATATATAAATGATTAGGAGGGACACCAAAGGTACTAAGGTGCCACGCATGATAGAGCCATTGTCTCTGTTGTTCCCAAAGGTGTCACCAACATCTGGGGACATCTCTAGATGCATTAATCATGTCCTAAGTGGCTGGCAATGGGAACCAGGGTACCACAAAATGAACATGTTTCCTACAAAAGGAACTGAATTCTATAGGAATTTTTTCAGCCCCTTCATCATTTTTCAGAATCTTTTCCTCTGTCTCTCTCTGTTGGTGGGCTGTACACTGAAGTCCAATGGCTCTGACATTTAAACCACATGGGCTGAATGCATGATGGGAGCTGAACCAGCATTTGACTTCTGCCCACAAGGACCTGGAGGGAAAGTCTGGGTCACAGAGGTTCGGGTTGGGTAGCACATGGTCATATGTCATATTCTGATGTCCCTCAGGAGTTGTATGTTCTGATGACATCACCTGACTTCTCATGTGGCAATTTCCTCAGAGATAAAACCTTCTTGGAGAGATCTGTAAACAACAGAACATTCTAAGAGGAGGTGAAACATTCCATCCTGTATAGGAGCTCCTTGAGGAAATAAACAACTCAATACCTCTAGAAAGTCCCTGAAACTGACTGGGTTCACTAGCCAGCCCCCAAACATATATAAATAATAAGGACTGCAGAGAGATACTGGAAGACCAGTCAGCAGAGTGCCTGGAAGAGACAGAATAGCTGAATTACTTGGAGGAGGTTCAGACCAGCTCCTAGAAGACACTCTCCAACTTGCCTAGCTACCTGCAGTTTGTGCAGTGCACTCCAGATTTCCAGCTCTCATAAGCTGTCACCCATGCTATGGTGGGATTTGGTGATGCAGCTTTCTTTGAGTCATTTCTGCTCCTGTAAGTAACCCCTCACCCATCTTCCTGTAGGTAGCCCCAATAAACCTCACTGATTCACCAAGTTGGAATTTGATGGTATCCTTACTTTGGTCTGTTGCTGGTTCCCTATCTGGGGTGAGTAGACGTTTGTTTACATCTCCCCAGAAATAGTGTCACAAAACACTCTTGGGTCAGGTTCCATGGAGAAAGCAGAAGTGCCCAATGTGGACCACTGGTATCCAGGGACTTCTGTAGCCACCGGGGACCTCATAGGGCTGTGGATACATAGCCTTTGGGATCCACCCATCCCCCTTGGACTCTGGAGGCCTTCAATGAGATCATACTTGTGTGTCTAACAGAATCCTATGTGATGCTCCTTCAACCAATACAGCTATGTGTCTTCTGTCTCAAGGCTTCCACACTTATTTATGATGCTTTAAATGCCATCTCTGCTAACAGCTCCCCAAGGCCTACCTTTGGATATCCAACTGCTTTCTTCCATATCTCCATGGGAGGCAAGCTGCAAATCTCAGCCAAGTTGTCTCATCCAAATAAAATCATCTAACAAGCATCTTGAACATGGCATGTTCCATAATCAAACTTCAGGTCTAGTGTCCCTTAGGGGACTATGATCATGTCCTAGCAGAGTTAAGTCATGCGGAAATCAAGTTCAC